CATGGGCCTATCGATCTTCTGGAAGACTGGCATTCCCATGTCAAAAGGTATATATATCCTGTCTTGACAGCTCTACAGGCTCTCTCCCACTCTTCTCCACCAACCTATCATCCTGAATATATTTCAATACAGGAATACCTTGTAGAAAACCAGCTTTTTCCCCATCCAGCTAAGCCACCATTACTGTACATTTCCAGAGTCCCCATCCACTTCCAGCCACACATTATGAACTCAATTGGTGGCTGATTTTCACACTGACAGGTGAGGAGGGAGGGGAATCCACCCATTACTGCCTTGAAACTGTTCTGCCTTACATCTATAAGAACAGCACAGCCTTTTAAGCTGTGGGAGTAGCATAATTGACATCAACTTATTTTTCTGGCGACTAAAGGACAGCAGCAGTGTGCAATAAGGAAGAACCCTAAAATAAATCTTGCGTGAACCAGGCCTTAGATCTGGTGCCTCAGGGCATCAGTATGTCCACAGGCATCTTTTGGCAAGACTTCTGTCCCATGTGGTTACATTAAAATGATATCTTTAATTAAAAAATAAAAAGTTGGCCTGCTGCGAAGCAAAGCACTAGCCTCCAACATCAAATTCATTTCCAAGAATGTCTCTGGACTCCCACTGGGCCCCATAATCTTGATTAGCACCACAACACAGTCCTTTGTTTTGGAAGGAAGCCATCTACCCAGAAAAGGAACAGTTGTAATTATTGACAGTCCAGAGCTTGAGGGTTGAGACTAAGAAGGTGGGGAGGTAGGTCAGCCATCTGGTAAATAGGCAACTCCTCTCCCCCAGCCATTTTTGGGGAGCACCCATAGTATAATTCCAAATATGTCCATTCGACCAGAAACATGGGGGTCTACTTTAGAGTAAAGGAACATGGCAACCAAACTGTTTACAAGATTTTCATTGCCAAACTCTATTTTGTTTTTGTTTATGGCTGAACAGGAAAGAAAGGGGAAGGAGAAAATCACATCCTTAAATAAAAGAACGTTCATAACTAAGAGTATTGGAGTGGGGGGCTCAAAATAACTAGTTCAGTGCATGGGTGTCTGTGAGAAGGGGCAAAGGGGAATAAACGATGAAACTTGTGTGATCATACAAATGCCACAACTTGCATATTTGCATCAGTATACAGTAGTGCAGCATTTACATTATCATTCATTCATTCATTCATTCATTCAT